CCCGGCCCGCCGCGGCCCCGTAGCGCCGCCCTCGGCCGCAGTGCGCGTGCGCCGCCCCGCCCCGCCCCGCCCCCTCCCGGCTCGGTGCTGCTCGCGCTGCGTCGTCCCTGGCGCCGGGGCGTGGGGCGGGAGGGACGACGTGCAGCGAGCCGCGCGCCCTCCCCCCTCCCCCCTCCCCGCGGGGGCTGCTGGGGGATCCCGGGGAGGCGGCGCGCGTGCAGCGCTCGGCTGGACGGGACGTGGCCCGGCCCGGCCCGGCCCGGCCCTCCTCCGGGCCGCCGCGTTCCGTCCCCGCAGCCCCAGGACGAGAGGCGGCCTCCGCGGCGGCCGCGGCGGGAGGTCGGCCAGCGCCCGGGCCAGTCGCCGCGCCGCCAGCGGGGCCGCTTTCCCCCGGCAGAGGCTTCCCGGGCGAGTGGGCGCGAGGAGGAGCGGAGCTGCTGGCGCAGCTGAGCGGGGCCGCGGCCGCGCTTCCTGCCCGAAACCTCCCAAGGACCGCGAAGCCCCGCTCCAACCCCGCGCTGCAGGCAAGAACGTGCGAACGGCCCTCCGGCTGGATCAGGCCAAGGGCTCTTCTCTGGCTTCCTCTTTGCGCGGTGCCAAACCGGCTCTCCAAAGGATCCCACAGTTCTTGGTTAATTTGTGCTGGTGGGTATGGGGATCTGAATGGGGGGGGGGGGGTAGTTGTAGTTCCTTATTTAACATTATGCGTTGCACTGCATTGAGTTACCGTGTCGACCGTGTCGTTTTTGTTTTGTAACTATATATTGATTTTGTTTTTTTGCTGTTGTAAACTTTTGACTGTATCATTGTATTTATTTGGAACAATGCCTTGTAGCCACCCAGAGAGCCCCACAGGCTATGGGGCAGCATATAAATGTAATAAATCAAATCAGGCGAGCAGAGTAAGAGTGCAACAGCAGTCTTCTGCTCACATTTCTCAGCAACTGGTGTGGGGGGCAGCTTACAATATTTAAAATAGCACTCTCATTAAATCAATAAAAATAATCCAATACAACAATACATTACATAATATTGCATAGTTAATATCAGAACAACAATAAATAGGTCATTATGATAAAATACTAAAACTGCTGGTGGGGACAACCAAAAGGACGATTAATATAAACTTAAAACTTAAAAGCTATTAACATTTTATTGATTAAGATACCTAGAAGAGAGAGAGGTTTTCATCTGGCACTGGAAAGAGTAATGTTGATGGCAGGTGAATTTCACGGAGAAGCATATGCTATAAGTGAGGTGCAGCCACCAAGAAGGTCCTCCTTCTATTCCCCGCCCCCGCCTTGAGGGAGGACTCCTTTAGAAGGACCTTCTGACCAGATCTTAGTGGATGGACGGGTATATATGGAAGAAGGTGGTCCTCTAAGGAGCCAGGCCCTAAGCCATTTAGAGCTTTAGATGTCAAAACCAGCACTTTGGTTGGTCACAGTGTTGTCAGTCACAGCACCCTGAAAGCTGCAACGTAGTTGGCCGGAGGAAGGCCCCTGGATAGTTGGCCCGAGGGAAGCCACATAGGGAAAAACCACAACCATTTTGAATTTGGCTGTGGTCTCAGCAGGGAGGGGGAATAAGAACTAAATGAACCCTGTAACCCACAGCTAACATGCTAGCCTGACCTCGAATATAGTAAGTAAAGGGACAGTGGAAACTGGTTATAGCTGCCATGAAAGTTGCAAATGTGCAGAGCATAAGAACATGGCAAGCCTGTGTGACTCTTGAGCAGATAAGAAATAGGCATGGGAAAAGACTTTGAAGCAAACAGCCATGGGGGGGGGGCTACATTGATGTGTTGATGCATTGGATGTGTATTAGATGACCTAATTGGTTACCCAGGGTATACGATGCATGTACTGGGGTGCAACTTTCGAGACACTGCTTTGGGCTGCGTATCCTCTTTCTCCTCCCTTTATTCTTTAGTGCACTACAATAAAGCTGGTTTGGCTCTTTGTCTCTTCTCAGGCTCCTTTTGACTTTAGGGTCTGGGGTCCACCCAGGCTTGCCCTAAGCTGCTGACTGGCTGAGTTCGGTAACAACAGGGTGACCAAGGCAGTATCCTTCCCAATCCTGGCCTCAAGCCTGATTGAAATGGCTCTAGAAAGCCTGTTTCATCCAAGAGCATCTGGAGTTGCCCAGCCACCACCAAATGGAGGTTTACTATTGGCCAATAGCCGGTGGCTGACCGTAGGTCCAGGTTTGGCATTTGTAGGAGTGGCCTTATCACAGCCTCCTTTAAAGAGACTGGGACCACCCCCTCTCTTCACGAGGCATTGACAGCCTGGGCCCAGGTGCAAACCCTCTCCATAGATTGTCCAGTCAGCCGGGATGGGCTGGGGTCAAGCTGGCAGGTGGCCAGACAAACCGAACCAAGCAGCTTCTCATCACTGGGTTGCAATTACTGAAACTCATCCATGAGAATGGGACCAAAGAACAGTGCACTGGACACATTCCACGAGTGATCTGTTTTGACAGCAGCCCAACTCGTGGGCAATCTGAGTGATTTCTTCCTTCAAGGTGCAAAACAAATTCATCACAGCGAGCCGTCAAGGAGGCTGGGGTCTCCGGAGCAGGCCAGAGTGTGGGAAGCCCCAGGCCCCTCAGGAAAAGCTTGGCTGGGTGGCGCTGCAAGGAAGCAGTAGAGGCAGCAAAATACTGGCTTTTTGCCAGCTTTACTGCCATGCAGTGGGCTTCGTAATAGCTCTAAACTGTGTTCAGCCACAGTATTTCCTCCACTTGTGCTCCAGCGATCTCTCCTGCTTCAGCTCCGAAGTATACCAAGGAGCTGGTCCGGCTCTGCCAGAGTGGAGAGGTGTCAGCTGCCCGAAGGGTTGTGTCACCCTGCTCCAAGGGCTAACTTGAGCTTCGACAAAAGTGCCTTCCATATCAAGCGGATATTCCTCCAGAGCCCTCTGGAATCCATCTGGATTCATCTGTCCCTGAGGGCTGATCATCTAAACTTCAATTTTGTACACCTGCATCATGTTTCCCCTTAGACATCCTTTTGGTGGTTTGCATGCATCTGACCCAGGGAGTCCTGGATAGCACCCTCAACCAGTCACTGATCCATCAACAACTCCTTCATTCCATGACACAGCTTGCTCAAGAGTCTTTGATGAGGAACCTTGTCAAATGCTCTTTGGATGTCCCAGTTCAGCACATGTGAACTGAGATGTCCCAGTTCCTTGTGAGGTATGAGCTCGAGAGCGGCCTTTCCCTCCGAGAGACGGGGGAGTGTGTCACTGTTGGTCCTCCTTGACCTCTCAGCGGCTTTCAGTACCATTGACCATGGTATCCTTCTGAAGAGGCTAGCGGGACTGGGGGTTGGAGGCACTGCTTTGCAGTGGTTCCGCTCCTATCAATGGCCGATTCCAGAAGGTGGTGCTGGGGGACTATGGTTCTGTGCCATGGCAATTATGCCATGGAGTTCCGCAGGGGTTCATTTTGTCCCCCTTGCTATTTAACATAGAAACATACATAGAAACAGAGCGAGTCAGAAAGGGTCTCCCGGGCCATCTAGTCTGACCTCCAGCACCAGCCGGCTCCGCTCACGACATGCCCACCATGTGCACGTCCATTCTATCCTTGAACACCCTCACCGATGGGGCCTCAACGACCTCTCGTGGGAGCCCATTCCACACCCTCGGGGTCCTGACTGTCAGGAAGTGCTTCCTGGCATCCAAATGGAACCTGGGCTCCCTGAGCTTGGCTCCATTGGAGCGCGTCCTGCCTTCCTCTGCAGGGGAGAACAGGTCTGTACCCATCTCCATGTGACATCCCCTCACATACCTGTATGTCGCCAACAGATCCCCTCTGAGTCTCCTCTTCTCCAGGCTGAAGAGACCCAGTTCCCCCAGTCTCGCCTCATACGGCATCCCCTGCAAACCGGCCACCAACCTTGTGGCCCTATGCTGCACTGACTCCAACCTGGCTATATCCTTTCTGTAACGAGGGGCTCAAAACTGAACACAATACTCCAGTTGCGGGCGCACTAGAGTCGTGTAGAGTGGTAGTAACACCTCTCTTGATCTAGAAGCCACGCTTCTGGCTATGCAACCAAGGGTGGCGTTCGCCCTCTTGACAACCGCATCACACGGCTGGCTCACGTTCAGCCTGCAGTCAACCAGCACCCCGAGGTCCCTTTCACGAGTGCTGCTCTCCAGCCACTTGTCCCCTGACCTGTACTTATGACACCCCTTTCTATGCCCCAAGTGCGAGACCTTGCACTTATCCACATTGAACGCCATCCTGTTGTCTCCTGCCCACTTCCATAGTCTGTCCAGATCCTTTTGGATCTGGAGTACCTGCTCCTCAGTTGTGGCCACTGCTCCAGTTTTATTGTCATCTGCGAATTTGATCAGCAGACTCTTCACCCCTTCTTCCATGTCGTTAATGAAAAGATTAAACAGGGCTCTCCCCGCCCCCTCGAATAACAGGAAAGGGACTGGCCGGGGACGCCACTCAGGACTTCCCCGTTGCAACACCACAAGCAGCCGCAAGTCCAGGCTGAGACAGACCTTCTTGGAATGTGCCAGAGTGGGTAGTCTTGCGCAATGGAAGCAGAGGCTGCTGCCCAGGCATTCTTTCAGGCACCCACAGGGAAGGCAAACGCCCCCATGGAGCTCCCAGAGGTAAGCGCCTGGCCGGGGGGGGGGGGGGGGCACCTGGCTTGCCTGCAGCCAGAGCGGGGAGGGGATGGCAGGATCCAACGGATCCCACAGCTCCCTGGCTCGGAGGGCGGACTCTCACTGACCGTGGCTTCTTTGTACCTGGGAAGCAGGCACAGTCCACTCTCCACGCACCTGTTGGCAAGAGAAGCAACCCACCGCATCGTTTGGCCAAATGTACACCTTCACCGTAGGGGCACAGCAGGGGGAGACAGGCTGGGGAAAGCTGAGGGCAGGCGACGAAAGGGGAGCCCAGATACGAGATGGGTGAGCTCCACAAAGCCAGCCCCAGCCCCGAGTTTACAAAACGGAGCAAGGCTGCCCAGGGCTGGACATCCTGGAGGGCTTCATTCACAGGGGATGACTTGATGGCCTGCAGAAAAACAGCCAACGCTTCCTCCCTCCCCTCCCACCCATGCACTGCCACCCACCCCAGTCCCAGTTCAACCTCCTGCCCAAGCAGCCCAGTGGGAGGTAAGGGATGGTCTGAAGGAGGTCTGACTGAAGTATGGGAGGGACCCTTGGGCTTTCAGTCCTGCACCTGCCCCTCTTCGGTGTCTGAATTTGAAAGGAAAAAAGATAGGATATAAACATAAACAAACTGGGATTGTTGGATTGAGCAACGCAGAGGAAATTCTGGGTCTGTGGTGAGCTGCTGCAGAGAAGTCTGGAGTCTTATGTCCAGTTCTGAGCAAAAAGGACCATGACAAACCAGTACATGTCTAGAAGTCACTGCAGGGTAAGGTTAACTGTTCCTTCCAAGGGCAGGACTGGGACCCATGGGTAGAAATGGCAGAGAAGCAGCATTTCTTTTAGCATGTATCGAAAGATCCTGAGAGAGTCACTCAGTCTCAGAATACAATTCCTCTGGATATAATGGGCTCTCCTTCCCTGGAGGTACATTAGCAGGTGATGGACGGCTGCCTGTCAGGGATGCTGCAGGTGCACTCTGCAGTGAAGACACGGAGATAAGCAGGGAGCTGGACCAGGTTACTTCTGAGGCCCCTTTCTCCCTCACAATTCCTTTTGGTTCCAACTACTCTGAACAATTTGGTGTCATCAGTAAACCTAGCCGCTTCTTTGCTCATGATCCGTGTCATTTATGGATAGGTTGATAAATACAGCATCTAATCCAGACAGCTGCAGAACCCCCTGTTTACTTTCAATTTCCATTCTCTGCTTTCTACTCTTGAACAAGACAATGACCCATAAGAATACCTCCCTTCTTATTGCATTACTGCTAAGTTTTCTCTCTCCCTTTTGGATACACGTTGTAATCTGGTGGTGGGCTCTAAGAGGGTCAGAGAAGCTGAGACCACTTCTGCCAGGGTACTAGTCTTCTAGCAGGGTCACCAAAAGCAAAACTTTCAAAGCAGAGACACCAGACTAAGATTCATTCACCATCTTCAGTAAAAGTCACATCAGTAGAAGAGATTGGACAGCTGTAATGGTGATAAGAACCTAAGAAAAGCCAGGAAGGAGGAATTTTATCTCTCTATTTGTTTAAATTGTGTGCAGAATATATCATAAGGAAAACTGGTTTAGGATCAGAGAAAGACACATGAAAATTTGAGATACGCAGATGACAGCTTACTACTGGGAGAAAGCAGCAATGATCTGAAGCAACTCCTGATAAAGAGGAAGAGGAAAGTGCGAGAGCAGGGCTGAAGTGGAACAAGAGGAAAACAAATGTCATGATGACTAAGAATTACAGATGTTTGTGGTCAGCAATTAAGAAATTGAAATTGGGAAAGATTGTACATGCCTTGGCTCAGTTATCGATCGAAAGGGATATTTCAACAAGAAATTAGAGGAAGACGGTAATGAAGGAACTGGAAAGCTCGTCAAGGGCAAGGATGATTCACCGGGTGCCAACACCAAGATCATCTGCACTCTCGTATTCCCAATCGCTATGCAAAATTGTGAATGCTGGGCAGTGGAGAAAGCTAGCAGGAAGAGAATTGATGAGTTCCAAATATGGTGCTAGACGAGAGCTTTGTGAATCTTTGGCTGTGCACAAAGATGAACAAACAGTTTGTAGGTCAAAGGAAGCCAGAACTTGCCCTGGAAGCAAAAATGACAAAACTGAAGTTGCCCTGCTTGGTGTACATAATAAGGAAGCAAAACCCAGTCAAGAAGACAATAATTCTAGGGAGAATCAAAGGCAAAAGAACAAGAGGTAAACCAAATATGAGACTTACATAAAGTAAGCCACCATTGGTCAAAACCGACTCGACAGTGCATAGCAACAACAGGCAATGCTCTGATAGTCTGGTACCAAGGCTGGTCTGAGGAACATGCTAAATATTTTTGTAGAAAAGTCACCAGTATTTCATCACTCAGACTCCCTTCCTGAAAACATCCATTGTCACAAATATTTGTCCTGTATCTCTTGCAGAGAGGACAGTCAAAAAGAATTCATTCACTTTCTCCACATTTCTTTATCATCTTCTAATGCTCCTTTAACCCCATTAGCATTCAATGGTCCAAATGGTTGGTTGGTTGGTTGGTTGGTTGGTTGGTTGGTGTCTCTCTCTCTCTCTCTCTCTCTCTCTCTCTCTCTCTCTCTCTCTCTGTCGATATATTTAAAGAATTCTTAATTGTTGGTCTTGCCGTTGTTAGTAATGTGCTCCTCAAATGCTGCTTTGTGTTTCATATTGTCTGTTTGGTTCTCCTTTGTGTAAGCCTTTGCTCCCTTTTGTTTTCCTCCTTTGGGCAAGAATCCTAATTTCTGAAGGAAACCTTTTTCCTAATACCCTCCTTGATAGTGTTAACCATGCTGCTATCCTCTTGGACGTTGTGCTATTTTTCCTCACTTGTGTATAAGTGCTCTCTGAGCTTTTCTCCCTGTAGAAGTGATGGACCTATTATGTATAATGGTTCTGTCCCTGAAGACTTATGGATCCAGTAGATTTCCAGTCAGCCCCAGAGGGTTCTTTGACCAGTTCTGCCAGTGATTCTGCCATGTCCCTAATCACAAAATGGAATCAGGCGATGACTAGGGCCTTAGACATGGTCACTCCTGAGCGTTCTTTCTGTCTAGCTTCCAAGATAGCTCCTTGGTATACAGAGGAGCTCCAGTGTATGAAGCTGGAAAGACAATGACTAGAGTGCCAACGAAAGAATTCTATACTTATCTCTGACAAAACACTTCATAGAGAGCATCTTTGCTCCTTTGGGGTGGTATTACTGCTTCGGATTCTGCTAAGGAATTTGTCTCAAGGCCCAATGCCGCCTAACCTGTCATTGGTACCATCAGTCACTCACTGTGATGCTTTTAACAAACATGCTGCAGAAAATGTCTTGGATAAGGCTACATTTGGTGCTTGCGGAGGTGGAGCGTGGCACAGAGGTGCCCAGCAGCTCATGAGTGGGGTTATCGTGGATCATTTTCAATCTGTATGTCCTGTTGGCCTTGGCAGGCTGCGTGGACCGGTGAGCAAACCCACCCGCCCTCTCCATCCATGTCCATCTTGGGCTGGCGTCCAGGCAGTGGAAGCACAGAGGAGGCCACTGCTCCTTAGCATCAACGTGGGGACACATTCAGCTGGGCCTCCCTCGAGGGCCTGGGGTGCCCTTTCCCAGGTCTTGGCCAGGGTTAGGGCTGGGGGAGGGCATGGGACGGCAGCCCTAAGCACCTCTTGTTTGGAAAGAGAGCACCCAAGCGCACAATGGAGAAGAAGCCCTCTGGCCTGTCTCCCCCTCTCCCTGCTGGCGAGAACTGAGCTGGGAGTGCCCAGCCCCCCCCCCCCCCCCGTGCTTGCCTTCTGTGCAAGGAAGACAAGTAGAGCAAACTCTCCCCCCACCCCGGCCACCCCCATTGCACTGGGGGTGGTGGGTGGGATCCAGGTGGCTGGCCCCACTGTCTTGTGAGGATGTGCTTGGGGCATGTCCATCCCCTTTGCTCTCTTCTTGATGCAGTCTTCACTCTCTGCAGCCATAGTCTGATCTGCCAGTCGTGAGTCACGTGGACAGCAATCTATGCTGTGAATATCAGCTGACCCTAACACGATACCATGCGTGCTGTTCCTTCAGGCGGGGGGGGGGGGCATGCATCCTGCCACACACAGAGCAGCACAGCCGCCAGCACTCGGAGCTCTCCTTGGGGGTGATTTTGAGGGTTGCCACAGCAACACCCTTGCTGCAGTCTTGCCATGAAAGGCTGAGGCGAAAATGTACTGTGTGTGTGTGTGTGTGAATTGAGCACAAGAGGCCTGAGTGTATCTTGCTTTCACTTTTAGTTAACACCCAGGACTGCTTCCGTGCCTCCTCCCACTGGCTTCACATGGAACAATACCACCTCCAGCTGCTCAGAGAGTGCTGACTTCCAGTACCTCCTCTTTCCTCTGGTCTACAGCCTGGTCTTCGTCCTGGGTCTGGCTGGGAATCTCTTTGTTTTGGGTTACTTCCTCCGGACCAAGTCGTCCACTGCGCCAGCCAATGTCTTCCTGGTGAACCTGGCCACCATCGACCTGCTCTTCGTGCTGACGTTGCCCTTCCGCATCGTGTACCACGCGCTCCACAATGACTGGATCTTTGGGGAGGCCCTCTGCAAAATCACGGGCAGCCTCTTCTTCGCCAACCTCTACGGCAGCTCCCTCTTCCTGGCCTGCATCTGCCTGGAGCGCTACGTGGCTGTGGTGCACCCCCTGCGGCACCTGCAGTTCCGGCAGCTCCGGCACCGCGTGGGTGCGGCCCTGGTGGTCTGGGTGCTGCTGGTGGCGGCCATCATGTACCTGACGCTTCGTGGGCCCCTGACAAGCTCCTTTGCTGACGGCCGCACCGCCTGCCTTGAGAACTTCTCCTCCAGGTCCTGGAAGGGCCGCATCTCCAGCGTCAGCATCTTTGCGGCTGTGGTTGGTTTCCTGCTGCCCCTCCTTCTGATCGGCGTGTGCTACCCACTGATTGCCTGGAGACTCCTGGCCTCCCCTGGGATGCAGCCTGGCTCACGGGCGGTGCGGCGCAAGGCGCTGCGGACGGTGCTCGTGGTCCTCGGGGTTTTCCTGGTCTGCTTCGCCCCCTACCACCTGGTACAGGTGGTCCACACCCTGGGCCGTGTGGGAGTCTTGGGTGGGTGCTCCCTCATTCGCACTACCTACATTGCCCGGCGCATCACCATGGCGCTCACAAGCCTCAACGCCTGCCTGGATCCCTTAGTCTACTACTTCGCAGCAGAGCGCTTCTCCCGGCAGCCGGACTGGTGGAAATCCGCTTGCTGCTGCCAGCGTGCCAGGGGGTGCCAGCAGTCCCCGCAGCTGCACGAGCTGGCCTCTGCCAAGACCGCCTCTTCTGGGGAGAGCACCTTGCCGAACACGGAGTAGTGGGCAAAGGGGGGCTTCCCGCTGGCTGGCTTGTCTCCCACTCCGCGGAAATTTTCTTAGCCTTGCATCAAAGTTGCCCAAGTGTGAGCTTGTCTGACGTGCGTGAAGGAGGAAGAGGCTGAGGAAAGGGATGCAAGTTTTTTTTTCCGATTTATATCCTGCCTTTTTCCTACAAAGGGCTCAAGGCAGCTTACATCCTTCTCCTCCTCCATCTTATCCCCACAACAACAACCCTGTGAGGTAGGCTGGGCCGAGAGTCTGTGACTGGCCCAAAGTCACCCAGTGGGCTCCATGGCTTTGCTTTTCTCAAGCCCCCTGTAGCTGCATTCCCTTTTTTGCAGGACTTCAGCTTTTCATCCCTGGCATAAAGGTTTGTGCCGGGCGGAAGACCCAGGAAACTGCACAGACGGCATTGCAACACTATCCAGCTTTCTGGAAAGAGACTGCTTCCCTGTCCCCATGCCTTTGCGTACATTTATTACTTGTGTGTACAATCTGAATGTTTGCACTGAAGTGTGTGGAGTGCAGATTTTAACACGCATGTGGGCCCTGGCTGGGCCTTCCACACCACATTAGAGTAATCTTTGCACAATTTCTGGAGGCAACAATAGTGCTTGCTTATTTGTGTTCACCCATTTACAAGGAGGTTGCTTTTTCAGTTTTATATACGAACTTAAGGAAGATATGCAGTGTTAAAGAAATCACTCTGAAAAGATCTCTTTCCTATGTAGAGTCTTAAACAGACCCTCTGTGGCATGTCGCCCTCGTAAGCTCAGCCTTAGGCTAAGCGATCTTGCGCCGGAAGCATGTTGGGGTGGTGGCAGGGCCGGAACGGGGCATGGCCGGCAATACCCACTGTCCGCTGCCTCGGAAACAGTGGAATCCCCAAAGGGCTGCATTCGGGGGGTGGGGGGACACACCAGCCGTGGGGCCAGCTCAGCCCGGAAGAAGGCAGGGCGTCTTCGCCATTCGCGTTTTGTGCCTCACCCCCACGGCACGCGTAAGCAGACCGCACAGCATCCAGCGCTGCACACGGCTGCACACCAGACCGCCGGCCCCGCCTCCCACGCCTTCCGCGTGCCCACCCACTCTGGGGGTTCCTTTTCTGAGCAAAAGCTGCAGTGCAAAGCTCTCCCAGCCAGTAACTCTGCATTCAGATGTGCTTCACCATTTTACTATGGGGGGTGGGGGAAGCTGGAAAACCATCAAGGAATCCACGCTTGTGAGGGAAAGGGCTGGAAATGCGGAGAAGTGGTGAAACACAGAAACACAGGGAAAAGGCGAGCAAGAAGCGCCATCCCGGGCCATCAAGTCTGACCTCTGGCTCTGGGTGGCTCTGCTCGTGTAATCCCCAACATGTGGCTGTCCTTGAACAACCTCACCAATGGGACCCCCATCTCCTCCCTTGGAAGCCCCTTCCATACCCCAGGGGTCCTGACAGTCAGGAAGGAGTTCCTGACATCCAACCCGAAGCCTGGTTCCTTGAGCTTGGCCCTGTTGGGACGCATCCTGCCCTCCACTGGAAGAACAAGTCATGACGCTCCTGCACATGGCATCCCCTCACATGCCTACAAGTCACTAAACGAGGCCCCCGGAGTCTCTCCTTCTCCACGCTGAAAAGACCCAGCACCCTCAATCTCCTCATAGGTCATCCCACCCAACCCAGCTTACCACCCTTGTGACCCTGCGCTGGACTGATTCTAACCTAGCGGTGCCTCTCCCATAACATGGAGCCCAGAACTGGATGCAGCACTCCAGCTGTGTGCGCACCAGAGTTGTGTAGAGCAGTGTCAACAGCACCCTAGATCTGGAAGCCACGCTTCTGGCTATACATCCAAGCGTGGCTTTCTTCTTAACTGCCACATCACATGGCTGGCCCCTGTTCAGCCTGCGGCTGATGGGTACCACAGGATTCTTTTCATAAATGCTGCTCTTCAGCCACTTGTCCCCCATCCTGCCCCTGTGACACCTGTGTCTCAAGTGCAAGACCTTGAATGCCATCCTGCCGTCCCCAGCCCACTTCCACACCTGTCCAGAGCCTTCTGGATCTGCATCACCTGCGCCTCAGTTGTGCCCACTGCCCCCACTTTGGTATCTTCCACAAATGTAGTCAGCAGACTGGTTATCCCCTCCTCCATGTCATTGACAGAAAGGTTGAGCAGAACCAGTCCCAGAACTGAGCCCTGGGGGGCTCTGCTCATCCCCGGGTGCCATCCTGGTGATTCCTTACTGGTAGTCACCCTCTGCTTGCGGTCTGCCAACCATGCCCCACTCCATCGGACAGTGCGCTGGCCCGTCCCAAAGCTCAACAGTTTCTCAGCCAGGATATCATGCGGCACTTTGTCAAAGGCCATGCTGAGATCCAGGTAAACCCCAGCCACCGTGTCCCCTCCGTCCAGCCACCTCAAGACCTTATCACAGAATTCCAAATGTTCGTCTGCGGGATCTGTTTTTATGGAATCCATGCTGTGTAGCTGCCAACCTCCCATCCCTATCTAGGTTTTCTGGAGCTTTTCCAACTGGGAAAACTTCCGAGCCTAACAGGAGTTGTCGTTGTCGTAGGGGCCCCTGTGCACTGCTTTGCCCGGGCCCATAGTGCTGTTAGGACGGCCCTGGACATCCGGACTTGCGTGGGGATGGGCGAGGGGAGGCCTGCTGCCAGCATCTGTGCCTGGGGCTGGCCGCCTGCTGAGGCGAGAGTGGAGGGACCCCCCTGCCTGGGCGACACCCCTGCTGGGCGCCTCTTCTGCCACGCAAGAGGAGGTTGCGCCCCACAGCGAGGCCGCCCCGTGCTGGAACCCCCAGGAGAATGGCTGGGCGTGGACTCTGCACCTGTTGGACAAGAGCCGGGCGAACGCATTCTGGCTTCTGAACGAGTGGAAGAGAAATCCTGCCCAACTTGCCAAGCCATTCAGAAACTTGGTCAAATATTTAAACAAGAATAATTTCCTCTTAACCAAATATCGGAAGAATACCTTCCAAGACGAAGTTACAGAACATTCCCTGCTGCTCCATAAATACCTTATTATGTATAATTTCACAAGATTTCATAGAAAGTACTGTTTAAAATATTTTATCTGCAGCAAGCAATTATTTACACACATACTCAAGTTTTGCTGAATAGTGTTTCCAGCATTCTGAGTTGAAAGCATTTCATTCCCTTGGTGGGAAAATGCTCTTTGCAGGCATGCTCAAATCCACAAGGTTAGAAAGGAGGAGTAAGGCTGAGACTTTTCCCCTGGTGCTTGGCAGGATCTCAAGTAGTGCGAGCAAATCCTGAACCAAGGACCTGTGTGGGCACGCTGCTGCGCAGTAGCACAGTCCCCAAGCAACACCGTCTGGAACGAACCAGCCAGGTAGGAGTGGAACCACCACAACGCAGTGCCTTCAACCCCCAACCTGGTAAGCCTGTTGCCCAAGAGGAACTCTTAAGTTCATGGCCTGGTGTGAAAAAGTCCAACAAGTACACAACAGGGGTGTAAAGAGGTTGGTACAATTTAATAATTTGTAAAGTACTAAATTACCTCTCCGTGGATCACTCCAGAGGCTGAGATGCCCTGAGCACACCTTATTTCACACTTTTATAGTACAGAGTAAAGAATTTATCACATGCGTTATATATGGGCTATGCATCCCAGACGTATATATATTTTCCTAATTCTGACAAACTAACATTTTCTCTTACAATAGGTTTTCATGCTCTAGCTTATCTTGCAGTTTGCTATTATGCTATTATGCAGAAGTGGTTACTTCTACTTTCCTGTTAAGTTCTTTCCAGCAGCTGATAATTCATTGATCATTCATTTAGCAGCAAGCAGTCCACTGCTAGCAAGCTTCCCTTTTTAAAGCACAAATCCCCAGCAAAAAACAGCAAAATTGCTTTTAGTTTATAACTATTTTCTTGCAAGCCTCTTTCCAACCCTTTGGAGGTTGGCTCCCAATTAGGCTTGATGAATTATTTCTCCATTGCCATCAATATGTAAGCAACAATCTGTCTAATTAAATACTCCATATATGCCACCTTTAGAAGCCAAAAGATAATTGCGACCTAATCTGTTTTGCAAAACAGCTCTTCAGCTCTGTGAAATTTTAGTAGCCAAAAGCTTTAAGGCCTCTGCTGTGTCATTGGCAAGAATTTCAACTACTGCCTTGCTTTTCCTTTGTAGGGTTGTCTGATAATATAATAGAACTTGCTAATTCATCAGCAGTTGATGCATAGGGAATGAAGGGAAAATATACTCCTTCACTTCCTATGGTCTGCGTACATAGCCGACTTTTGGTTAGGCTCAGGTATGACTTTATAGTTTTTTGCCAGTGTGATTACTGAATTATTTCCATTGGACATTTCATGTGTTTCAAAGTATTCAACAAAAGTGGAAATAATTAAACACATGAAGATGCCTCAGGGGGTTTCATAGTGAAGTTTTGCCCTCATGCTTCCCACACCAGTAACCATGCTGCCGATCTTTGTTGTAGCACGTAAGAAAATAAAAGCAATCACTCTTTGTCTTGACTGTTAGACATAAAATTAAATCTGAACACATCTATTTTTCTTAAAGAGAAACACAAAGTCCACAAGTCCACAACTGGTTCTGGTTAGCCCTTTCCTGGTTGGGCTTCTGGGTGTTGTCCTCTTCCTTTGGTGCTTTCTTCACCCAAATGAGATGAATCTGTATCTTTACACCTCGTACTTTTACTGCAGGATGTGCTGTTAGAGGCACCAGGAATGGACCATGCCAGGATGCCTCCAAGGATTCACACTTTCATTTCTTCCCATGCACCTGATCTCCCAGCTAAAAGGGATGGACATCACCATCCAGTGGAATTGGTTGTTTAACCCATGAAGAGAAGAGAACTTTGTTTCAGTAAAGAGTTTACTTAAAATCTACTTTAGTTTCCCTTGATATCACTCCACCATGTAAAGTTTACATGGCTGGTTTGTGGAAACCATGGAATATGTAGTTTGTGAGGAATTTCAACTGCATGACTAACTGACTGAGCCACTTTAGAAACAAGATGAGGTCCATTATCCAAATTCAATTAGAAACATAGAAACAGAGTGAATTGGAAAGGGTCTCCTGGGCCATCTAGTCTGACCCCCGGCCCCAGCCAGCTCCACTCATGACAGGCCCGCCACGTGCATGTCCAGCCTGTCCTGGAACATCTTCACTGATGGGGCCTCAACCGCCTCCCGGGGAAGCCCAGTCCACACCCTGGGGGTCCTAACCGTCAGGAAGTACTTCCAGGCACCCACCTTGAACTTTGGTTCCCTGAGTTTGGCTCTGTGGGAACATGTCCTGCCCTCCACTGCAGAGGAAAAAAGCTCATGTCCCACATCTGTGTGGCACCCCCCTCAGTTACGTGTACGTTGCTAAGAGGTCCCCTCTGAGTCTCCCCCTCGCAAGGCTGAAAAAATTGAGCTTCCTCAGTCTCTCTTCATACGGCTTACCCTGCAAACCAGCTACCATCCTAGTGGCCCTTCGCTGCACAGATTCCAACCTTGCTATATCCTTCCTGTAATGAGGGGCACAGAATTGAACATGATACTCCAGCTGCGGGCGCACCAGAGTCATATAGAGTGGTAGGAATACCTCTCTCGATCTAGAAGCCACGCTTCTAGCTATACAACCAAGGGTGGCATTCACCCTCTTAGAAACAGAGAAACAGAGAAAACAGAATGAGTCAGAAGGGGTCTCCCGGGCCATCTAGTCTGAC